TAAGTCCACTGATATTGAGAGATGTTAATCATCACTGATTGTTATTTCTGTTATTTTTTATTGGTGGTGATAGTGGTGGTTGTGTGTGTGTGTGTGTGTGTGTGTGTGTGTGTGTGTGTGTGTGTGTGTATGTGTGTGTGTGTGTGTGTGTGTTTCTCTTCTTTGGGTTTTAATGATGTGAGATTATTTGTTGCCTGTGTTTTTGTGAGTGTAGCTAATTTTCTTCATTTGGAGTTTTCTTTCTATTACCTTCTGTAAGGCTGGAATTATGGATATACATTGTTAAATTTGATTTTGTCATGAAATATCTTGTTTTCGCTCTCTATGGTGATTATGTTGCTTGCTATAATAATCTGTGCTGGCATCTGTGGTTTCTTACTGTCTGCAAGACATCTGTCCAGACCCTTCTGCCTTTTAAGTTCCTGTTGAGAAGTTGTGTGTAATTCTAATATGTCTTTCTTTATATGTTTCTTGACCTTTTTCCTGTGCAGTGTTTAATATTATTTCTTTGTTCTGTATGTTTAGTGTTTTGATTATTATGTGGCAGAGGGACTTATTTTTCTGCTCCAAACTATTTGTTATTATGTTAGCTTTTTGTACTTTTATAGGCATGTCCTTCATTAGGTTGGGAAATTTTTCTTCTGTGATTTTGTTGAATATATTTTCTGGGCCTTTGAGCTGGGATTCTCACCTTTTTTCTATTCCAATCATTCTTAGGTTTGGTATATTCATAGTTTCCCAGATTTTCTGGATGTTTTGTGTAAGGAAATTTTTAGATTTAGCATTTTCTTTGACCTATGTAAGTCTATTTCCTCTATTGTATCTTCAGTGCCTGATTTGTATTCTTTTGTATTCTGTTGGTGATGTTTGCACCTGTAGTTCCTGTTCCCTTACTCAGATTTTTTGTTTCTAGTGTTCCCTTGATTTGTGTGTTTTTATTGCTTCTATTTCCATTTTTAGGTCTTGAACTGTTTCCTTCACCTGATTGTTTTCTTGGCATTCTTTAAGGGATTGATTGATTTCTCCCAAATTTTTGTTTAGCTTTTTCTCAATTTCTTTAAGGGATTTTTAAAATTTTTCTCTTTACAGACCACTATTGTCTTCAGAAAGTTATTTTTAAGGTCATTTACTTCTGCTTCAGCTGCCTTGGAATTATCAGGTCTTGCTGTTGTAGGATTACTGGGTTCTGGTGGTGCCACATTACACTTTCTGTTACTGATTGTGTTCTTACACTGTCATTTAGGCATCTGGCTTTGGGATGATTATAGGTCTAGGTGTTGATTCCTGTGTTTGTCTTTGTTGGATGGGTGGTTTTTTTCTTTGTTTTCTGTTTCCTCTATGGTCTCTGCTCTACGTGGCCAAGGGTTCTGGTGACTGGCAAATCTCGAGGTCCAGTAGGGTGTCATCACTGGGGTTTTGATTGCCTTCAGTCCTTGGATCCAGCCTGGCCTCTGGTAAAGCCAAAGTCTTCTTTCAAAGTTGTAGACCAGAACATGGAGCCCAGGGGAGGGGGTACTGTTCTTCTGACTGGTGTGGACTGTAACTGGGCCTATGGAGTGTGTTCTTCTGACTGGTGTTGTCTGTATCTGGGTCTATGGAGTCTGACAGAGTTTATGGGATGGATGATGAGTTGGGAGGGGTTGAGAGATCAAGTGGGGCTTGGGGGAACTGAATGCAGGAGGGTGGCGGGAGACTAGCTAGCAGGTGGATACTCACTGACTGATTGACTGGTGAGGACTACATCAGAGCAATGGAATTCCACTTGAGATGTGGACAGGGGTCAGCAGTTTTGCTAAGATGGGAGAGGGAGGGGCATGGGTTGTGCCCTGGGGATTTTCATCTGAGGTTTGAGGCAACTCAGCCAGGAGGCTGCTCACTCACCTGTCCTCTGACTGGTGTGGGTTGTAACTGGGCTTATAGAGTTTGCCAGAGATGAGGGATTGGCAATGGAGTGGGTCTCAGTGGAACAGAATACAAGGGGTGGCAGCAGTCCAACTTGCAAGCAGGTCACTCAACTGCTCCTTGACTGGAGACTTGATACACACTAGAATCATCAGAGAGGGAGGAGCCTAAGTTGAGGAAATGCTTTCATGTAAGGAATTTTCTTAATTAGTAATCAATGGAGGAGATCCCAGTCCAATTGTGTTCCTGGGTTCTATAAGAAGGCAAGCTAGACAAATCAGGAGAAGCAAGCCAGTAAGTAGCTCTTTTCCATGACCTCTTCTTTAGCTCCTGCCTCCAGGTTTCAGCCCTGTTTGAGTTCCTGCTCGGACTCCCTCCAGTAGTAGACTGTGATCTGGAAGTGTAATCCAAACAGACACTTTCCCCCGTGTGTGGTGATATTTTAATTGTGCTGAAATATGATTTTATTTGTATGTTAATAAATAAAGTTTGCCTGGAGATCAGACGTCATTAGTGGAGAGCCAGTAATAGAAGTCAGGTGGTGGTAGCACACACCCTTAATCTGATCACATGGCAGGCAGAGTCTCTGTGTAGTCAAGGACACAGCCAAGCATGGTGACCCTTAAGTTTTTAATCCCAGTACCAACCATAGAGACCAGGAGGTCTGTATAGACAGGCAATGACGAGGAAGTCATGTGGCTGGGCTTAGAGCCAATGAGAAGTGTAGATGTATCCAACCTTCTTATTAAATAATAAACACGGAACCAATGCAAAGAAGAAAGCCAAGAGGTCAGAGCTAAGAGCTAAAACCTTACCCTTCCTCCTGCGGTGGTCCTACCTCTCCGAACCAGAACTACCCCTGTGTTAAAGTCTTTATATAGAGTTCCTGTCCTGCCTTCTCATTGGTTGTAAACCCAACCACATGACCGCCTCCTCACAGCCTGTCCGTATAGGCCTCCAGGTTTTCCATGATTAGTATTAAGATTAAAGGCATGTGTATCCAATAATGGCTGTATCCCTGAACACACAGAGACTTACCCAGCTCTGCCTACCAAGTGCTGGAATTACAAGCGTACGCTACCACTGCAATGCTTTCCTATGACTTGCTAATAGCTCTGACCCCCGGGCAACTTTATTTATTAACATACAAATAATATTTTAATACAAATAAAATATCACCATATTTCCCCTTTTCTATTTTAATAAAAAGGAAAAAAAGAAAAAGCTTATAACTAATATAAGAAAAACTATATACAAAAGTACAATAACTATATACAATATATACAAGCAATAAATACCTAAACATTGTCTAGTCCATTTGTATTTGACAAATTCAGAGAAAATAATTTCATTATCTATCCTATTTTGGTAAGTCCAAAATGTATCCTAATTAATCTTCAACTATAACTAACTAAACTTCAACTATAACTAACTAATCTTCAACTCCCTCAGAGACCCAAGAAGGAAATAATATTAGCTAACAAAAATAAAAACAGGAAGTGCACATAAGCAACTTCCAAAAAATTGGTGAGTTGACAGAAACAGACAGCTGTCTGGACAGTCACCTGAGGTTTCTCCGAAGTGCTGGGGCATCATCTTCAGCCTATAGGCTTAGCATATCTGACAGACTCATTTGTGAAGTAGGATGTACACAAGGTCAACAGTTCAACCTCACATTGAGTGAGAGTAGTCCATGTACCAGAAAAACCTGAATTCCACTAGTGTCATGTCATGATTCAGGATTTTAAATTCTGGAAATTGTTGATGGTTTTTTAATTCAGCTGTCCATTCTTCTTGGCTGTGTATATATGGCTTCATCTCAGCATCCCATTCTTCTCCATATCCCTCCATCAAATGCCAGTCTACTATTGAGAGACGTGAGCTTAGTTACTCTTCAAGAATAACTGTTTCAGCTGCTGTTCCATTGCACATCAGAAGCCATCGGCCCACTGCCTGTTCAGCTGCCTTCGAAGAAAAGGGCACTGTACCTTTTTCGAATTGCGAAGGCCACTTCAGGGATGGTGCCATATTGTCCTGGCCTCTGAAGATGCCTTTTGATAAAGCCATAACCACACTTGTTTTGGCAAGAATCAGTAATCCTTTGTTTTATGTCCTGTCTGTCCATTTTGTCCTGTTGATTCGAGGATACTTTGTTGTCCAGTGGCTAACTTTTGCCACAATGAAAGTTAACTCCATATGCAGTTTCTTCAATGCCCATTTTTTCTCTGAAGCAGATTGGTACTGCCAGGAGCCGACATGTCTCATAGTCATAACAAAAAAGAAAAATTTTCTAAGTTATTAAAACATTTTAAATGCCATATTCTGTAGATCTCTGAAGGGTTTGAAGATAACCTGTCTATCTAAAATATATCTACTCAATCTTGAAAACATACCTAATATAACTACAAGTTCTATTATAATATCTAACTACTAACTTTCATTTCTTTATATCCTAATAATTGGTAATAACATTCAAGGATCAGAAAATTGCATTACATTGTTAGATGAACGGTACAATTAGAAAAATATATATAACATTTTCTAACAATATCAATTGCAATATATATAATTTGTATACAATATAAAACAATCCAATCCAGTGTAAAGTATTTACATTTTTCTTTTCTGTCTTTCTTTTTTTTTTAAATAAGAACCTTAAATCTAATCTCCTTTGCTTAGCCTTTTTCCTAACCCTTGACAACAACTTGTAACCAACCCCCCTAATCAATGAAAATTATCCCAGACCCAAAACCCATTAAAAGACCAAAAAAAACCAAACGCCCCACAGAGAAGGCAGAACAGGAAAGCAATAAAATGCAAGACACACAGGAAGAAGGTCTCTCTCTCAGGGGAAGGACAGCAGCGAGTGGTAAGATAAGGTGGTCTTCGCTCTTTGCTAGTGCTCAGATCTCTTGGGCTTTTAACTCTGTATTTGGCTCTGAGTTTCTTATTTAATAAGACTTTTTAGAATTTCATCTACACCTGTGATAGTTTGTATGTAATTGGCCCCCAGAGGGAGTGTCACTAATAGGAGGTATGGCTTTGTTGGATGAAGTGTGTCACTTTGAGTGTGGGAATTGATATCTTTTCTGCTTAAGCTTCACTCAGTGTGACTTTCAGTCAACTTCCTTTTGCCTGCAAGATGTGAGACTCCTAGCTACTACTGCAGTGCCACATCTGCCTGCACACAGCCATCCTCCTCATCATGATGATAACTCACTGGACTTCTGAAACTGTAAGTGAACCTTCCTTTGGAAGACTTGCCATCGTCACGGTGTCATATCACAGCAACAGAACACCTAACTAAGACAGAAGTTGGTACCAGAGCCTGGGGTATTGCTGTGATGGGCCATGTTTTTGTTTGAAGGAATATGGACATTGGGATTGTGGATTAGAAAAGCAGTTGAATGCTTTATGTGCTGCTTAGTGGGCCATAAAAGTTGGAACATGGAAACAAGTGGTGTTGAATGTGATTTGATGTACTTTGGGGAGCTTGTTCAAGAGCTTACAGAGGAGATGAATTTTAGTATGATGCTTAGAGATCATTCTTGGTGAAGAAAGTGGGTGCATTTTGTCCTACTCTGAAAAGTTTGCCTGAGACTAAAGTGAAGAATTTTGAGTTAATTCCCTTGGCAGAGTAAATCTCAAAGAAGCCTAGTAGACTCTGTCATGTGATTATTAGTGGTAACTCTAATGCCTTTCTGACATCACTTGTCAGGGTTAGATCTTGTTCCCATTTTTTGAAAAACATAATATCTCTGTACATCAGTTAATCATTTACAGTGGGAATGTGATGGTGAATGTATGGGTGCATGGAGGAATATGTGGTAAATTTTTACAGGCCTGTAAAATACGTCAGAATCTGATACTAAAGAAATTCTAAAAAATCTTAGACAATGTAAAGGAAATAACAACCAATCCAATGTTTCTTGGGAATTGTGAAAGGAGAATGCTGGGTTCTGTTGACTTGGGTTATGTAGACTTTCCTCATCTTTTTATGCAGGATACTCAGGCTCAGACAGCAAAGGGCAACACTTATGGAACCCAGTGAGATGACTATGGGAGAGATACTCTCTTCACAGACTGTGGTTGGAGTTATAGGGAATTCATCTCTCCTTTACCATTATTTGTTGCTTTGCTTCATAGGCTGCAGAATAAATCCCATAGCCATGATTCTGTTGTACTTGATTGTGGTGAATATCTTCAAACACCATGTAGGGTAGTTCCCCACACAAGGCAGCTTTAGATTTGAAAACTTTCTTAGGTGATTTTGGTTGCAAATTCATTTTTTTTCTTGCCACAGGGCTGGTGGGGCTATGCCCCTTGGCCATACCTGCTGCCCGGGTGTCTTTTAGACAATCATCACCAGCCCAGTTGCTCCATGTGGTCAGAACATACAGGTAAAGCCTTCAGATTTATTTGCTCCTTCTTGCACCTGGGTTGGATGCTGTTTCTTTCTATCCTTCTTTTTTTTGGATATTTCTTTTCCTTTGCACATAACTTCAAGATGAAGCAATAAAAATATCACATACTTAAAAGATTATGGATATTGTGTTTCTGTTCATCACACACATACACACACACACACACACACACACACACACACACACACACACACACAAAAGAAATGACTGAAATTCTGCCTGTAGTGTTTCTGTCACTTCCATATATTCAATATGGGGGGGGTGCTCATTATCTGTGCCCAGGGCTCCATGGATCTCATCCTGCACACACACATGCAGGGAATGCAAACACATGCCTAGGATCAAGGAATCCTCCAGATCCTTTCCTGTATCCAAAGTCACCCAAACTCTCCCTCTCTTTGTGAGCATCTGTGTCTGCAGTTACACACACTCCTATACCCTAATCATCAGTTTAACAGTTTTTATTAATTTCAGCTGGTTCCTGCTGAATTCCTACTTTCTGGAGGCATACCAATGGTAAGCTCCTTCTTGATCATGACCTACAACCCCAGTGCATCCATCTTTTGTCATCTCTGCATGAAGAATAGAAAATATCTTGATTTCATCAAAAACATGTAATTTGAAAGCTTCTGCAACTGTAATGTGTTCAGTCACACAATAGAAATGTATGAAAATAATTTCTCATGAAACTGAGTGATTTACATAAAGACTCCTGCATATTATAAATATATATATGTTTGTGTGTATAAACATGTGAGCATGCATCCATTATTCATCAAAAAAGATCTCTGAAAATTCTGCAGAATTTTAAATTTAATTAAACCAAGCAAAATGTCAACTTAAAATTTCAAAATAATATTACTTGCAACAATGGCAAAGTGCTTTAACAAAACTATCTTTGTTTTGTTTCTTGTAATTATTGTAATTAACTTCGTAAAATTTATCCAATTACATTCATTTATGTCCTTTTCTGTTTGTTTCTTAACTGAGTGCCTTGGTACATCCAAAAATGCAATAAAAGTATCTACTTTCCACAACTGCACTGTCTTTATATTTCATAAATCAATGGACTTTTAATAACATGTTTCTTTTCCTGAAACCTCTTCTATTTTCCTTTTTCTGGTGATTTTGTCTGTATTGATTTATTTCATTAATGCTGCATTTCTGATTTTAGAAAACTAATAATAATGTGAAATCATACTGTAGATTTATTTTCAACTTAATAACTTTTTACATTGGATAATAGAGTTTTCATTTTCACCATTGAGTTTTACATTACTAATTTGGATCATTTCAAGGATTTTATCTTCATATTTGTGTGTGTTTGGGGGGGTGTTTGATACTGGCAGAGGACAAAAGACTGCTTTGGATCACATGGAGCTGAAATTATTGATGATTGTAAGTTGAATGACAAGTCAGGCTTGGGATTTTTTTAAAAAGAGGCTAGATATTTTAAATGTACTAAATTTTAAGGTATTTGAATTTCTAAAGACTGGGACTTTTAAGGTTATTTATTTATTTATTTATTTATTTATTTATTTATTTATTTTCAGAGCTGAGGACCGAACCCAGGGCCTTGTGCTTGCTAGGCAAGTGCTCTACCACTGAGCTAAATCCCCAACCCCTCCTTTTTTTTTTTAAAAAAAAAAAAAGATTTGTTTATTTATTAGATATACAGTATTCTGTCTGCATATACATCTGAAGGCCAGAAGAGGGCACCAGATCTCATTATGGATGGTTGTGAGCCACCATGTGGTTGCTGGGAATTGAACTCAGGACCTCTGGAAGAGCAGTCAGTGCTCTTAACCTCTGAGCCATGTCTTCAGCCTGGTTATTTATGTTTTTGATGTGACAACTTGGAAAATGAATGAGAGAGGAATGATTATGGCTTAAAGTTGTTGTCTTTGTATACAAGTTGAGAAGGGGTCAATTTTATTAGCTAGATTTATGTCAACTTGACACAAGCTAAAGTCATTGGAGAAGAGGGAATCTTAATTAAGAAAATGCCTTCTTAATTGGTGATTGATGGGGGGACAGTACATTGTGCATGGTCTCATCCACTGGCTGGAGGAGACAGGAACTTAGATCTTTTCAGGCTCCTGCAGGCTGAGGAGTTGGTGAGCAAAAAGATGGCTTTCTCTGTTTCTCTGATCTTTCAACTTTAACTCTAATATCTGGCTCTGAATTTTTATTATAAGTCCATTTAGAATTCATGCAATATTTAAACCATCAAAGTCTATTTTCTGAGAAAGCATATAAATGTACTAATCTACCTTTTTGGCCTCTGTATATTGGTTTCTGGTTAACTGTTTTTATTAACTGAAGTGTGTCTACCCTGGATACGGATTTTGTGCTTAAAAGCTTACCCTGAGAAAATCTCAGGGTACACCTGGATCATGAACACAGTGTAGTTGTTGGTCAGCTAATAAAGAGTTTCTATTGGCCTAAAAACAGTGTCTATATTTTCCTTGTGAATGCTTCCCCAAAGCTTTTAGAAGTGTGTCAAGTAGTAAAAAATAATATGTATATGAGTGTGACTTTGTGCATTTAAAGTGTGTTTTGTTACTATTTTCCATTCTCTTTGATATCTTTAACTACATTGTATTTGTCAGGGTTCTCTAAAGAAACAGGTTTTATAGAATAAATTGTCTCTCTTAGAAACAATGTGTGACTATGAGGGGAAAATCCAAGAATCCAGAAGTTGCTCAGTTCAAGAAGCTTGATATGTTAGCTTGGATTCAGCAGATGCTGAAAAGGTGGGCTCTAGTGCCAGTAAAAGAGTAGACTTGGTAGTAAGGCAAGTGCCAAGTATGCAAAGAGCAAAGGCTTAAATGTTCCAAGAATTAATATAAGCTTCTAGCAGAAGCTGTGTCCCAAATTAAAAGTGTGCCTTTCAGCCTCAAGAACCAGATTAAAGATATGTTTCTTCCTCACTCAAGATCTGGATCAAATGTGTGCATCTTCCCCCGTCAAGATCTAGATCAAAGGTGTTTTTCTTGTCTTCGTTAGATGTGAAAAAAAGGCCTGTCTTTCTACCTCAAAGTTCTGGAATAGAAGTGAATCCACCTACTAAAAACAAAGAAAATTCCCACACAGTTGTGCCCACCATTTCTGGATTTCAGTCATTTCCAGATATAGTCAATTTGACAACAAAGAATAGCCATCACACAATTTAAACATGGAGAGGAGGATGCTACTCTAAAACAGCCATGCAGCCAGCTTTGGAGTAACAGAAAGATTTACATAAGTAAGAGAAAAAGTAAAAGCCCAGAGGCAAAAGGTAGATGGGATCATTTAAGTTAAGGAAATCTGTCTAGAAAGAAGCCAAGGTAAGGCTGGGCATTTATAATTAAGAATAAGACTCTCTGTGTGGTTTATTTGGGAGCTGGGTGGTAGGACCCCAAAAGCAAAGAGTCAAAGAGCAAAAAACAAGCAACAGGGGATCAAAAAAGATGCCAAGTGTCCAAAAGATTCCTATGCAGTAAGAAATTTTGGAGGAAGCACAATAATCGTTTTCAAATTAGATTATGGCTCTACAGTGTGAACATAACCCCCCCAAACATGGTGCTGTGATGAATGAGATGCACAGACAAATGAATCAGAGGATCTAGAAATAAACCAATGAACCCACTGCTGCCTGACTATATAAAATGATAACATGAATATTATTTGTGAACATGGGAGACTCTAGAAAATGTTGCTTTTGAAAATGGTTAGCTTCACGAGTTTAAATCCAGATCCCTTTCTCTCACACTATAAAACGAGAAATTTCATTCCCAATTTGATTGTATGCTTTTAATCTCAGTATGTGGGGAGGTCTAGCTAAGTGGAGTTCAGTGAGTTCAAGGTCAGTTTGGTCTGTCTACTTGTTTCCAGGCCAGCAAAAACTAAAAAGTAAGACCATTTGCCAAAAAAAGAAGGAGGAGGAAAAGGACTTTTATGATGTGTAGAAAGAGGTGGAAGAAGAGAAGAAGTAAAAGAAGAAGATGAAGAGAGGGAAAGGAAGTGGGAGAAAAATAGAAAGATAAGAGATTGATGGACTGTGAAGCTTCCTTCAAAGTCTACAGAGAGCTTCATGGTTTCAGGTTTCCTGAGTTCTCAGGATTGAACTAGGAATTTTGTTACAGTTACTTTTGAGTCTTCCCTGTCCCTTGTAGATAAACCTTCACCCATAATCCCATTAGGAACCCCAATAATACCCTATGGGTTAACCAAGATGGACATTGTAGCAGTGGTTACTTTGTTCTGAACTGCATTCCATTTCTGGTATGAATAAACATATTTGGCCAGGTGGTTGTGCATGTCTTTAATACCAGCACTCAGGAGACAGAGCCAGGTGGATCTCTGTGAGTTCAAGGCCAGTCTGGTCTACAGAGTGAGATCCAGGCCAGGCACCAAAACTAGACAGAGAAACACTGTCTTGAACCTCCCACCTCCCAGAAAAACAAAAACAAAAACAAACACAAACAAATAAAATATATTTGGGTTGTGTCACTCAGGAAAAGTTACTACCTTAGCACTGCCATATCATCCCTGCAGCAAATGTTTCCTGGACTAATCAATATTGCTTTTGAAAGCACAAGTTTTATTTCATCTTTAATTTCTGTGTTATGGTCCATCATTGAAGTAAGGAAAAAACCTCAGGAATAAAACTGAAGCTGAAGCCATAGAGGAATTGAGCCAACTGAATTGCTCCCCAAGGCAGGACCATCCTGCTTTTCATATAACCCAAGACTACATGCACAGGAATGACACTGTCTACAGTGCGTGATACTCTCCCTATCAATCATCATTCAAGAAAATGCCCTACATACATGCAAACAGGCCAAGCTGATGGCAGCAATTTCTCAGTTGAGGTGCCCTCTTCTTATATAACCTCAGCTTTTGTAAATTTTAAAAAACAGTAAGCAGTAGAATGTAAGCCCTGGAACCCTGAGCCCTACTATTCTTCCTTAAATTACTTCTCTTGGGATTTTTTCACAGGCATGAAGAGAAGAACTAATTATCTGTATTGATCCTCTGTGATGGTTAATGTTGGTTCACACTTAATTGAATTAGAAAGTCTTGGCTTTCAATAAACCCTCTCCATTTTATGTCCCACAGACAATTACTTGTGAGTATTTGAAGGCAGCTGATAGCTCAGTCACCTCAGGAATGTGAGACTGATGTCTTTATGGAGAGGTGTTGAAAATGAAAGGTGGAACAAAGTTAGAGTAGGACACACCTTGGTATGCCCACTGGGCTAGAGCTTATCCTGGCATCATCATGTGTACCTTTTCACTCTGCCTCTTGCCCTGCAAATGCTGAAGATTTGGTATGTTCTATATCATGCTCCTTTCACAGTGATATTCTACCAAAGTATAAGAGGCCATTTGGACACAGACTGAATCATCTGAAATAATACAATATATATTCTATTCCTCTAAGACATTCTGTCATATATTTTGTTTCAATGATGACAAGTAATGTACATTCCAAGCAATATCTTCCATGAACATACCACATACAGGCACACATGCTCCCTTTGTCATTTAGTCACAGAGATTCACAAAGTCACAACTGACTTCAAAACTACTATTTGATGACTAATCTACATTGCAAAGTTGGTGAAACTGACAGATACACACAGGGTTAACATGTCAACTCATTGAATGGTTCTGTGAGTATCTTTATAGGAAGAATGATCCTTGAGTCTCTGAGCTTATCAACAGTCTTATCATTACAATGTGCCACACTTCAGAAGATTTTTGGGAGTTGGAGGAAATATGGAACGAGGAGCCTGCTGAGATAGTGTTTCTATGGTCCTGCCTGTGGATGGTCTATAATGGCTGAACTGTTTTCCCTTAGTCTTTTCAACTTCCTGTCTACCAAGAGATAAGTGGCTCTGTTCCATTATGTCAAATTGAGTCCCTTGGTTTTATTTTTCAGTTCTTTCCACATTAATCAGGAGAAGACTCTTGGGCAAACTCTTCCAGCTGGTGACACATCTGGGATCTATTCCCAATTAACGCCAGAAAAACTGAACTAGGTACCAGGGAAGTCAAGGCCATCAACAACTTGAGCACAATTTGTACAATTTTCATTTTAATTATGACATCTACTTTGATCAGCGATATGGGTTTCAATTCAGTAGAGAAGCTCACTTCACTGGCATGATTTTAAAGGCTATGAAAAGCAGAAAACTGTCATTTGTCTTCAGATAAATGTCTAAGGTTTGGGAATATCACTTGCCCTACATTTTCTCTAGAAATTGAGGAAAGCATCAGACATTCCTGTGATCCTTCTCACATTTGTTTTCATCCCAAGGTCCATAGTGGAAAAATATCAGCATTGAATAGTCTCATGCCTGGGTCAAAATTTTTTTTATATTCTCACAAAACTGGTGTGTAGTATTTTGTTTGTGTTCTGACAAAT